TTCGAAACCAGCCTAGCCAACCCTGTCTCTACTAAAAATACAAAAATTAGCTGGGTGTGGTGGCACCCCCCTGTAATCCCAGCTACTCAGGAGCCTGAGCCAGGAGAATCGCTTGAACCTAGGAGGCAGAAGTTGCAGTGAGCTGAGGTCGTGCCACTGTTCTCCATCCTGGGTGACAGAGTAAGACTCTGTCTCAAAAAAAGAAAAAAGAAAATATTACCTAAGAGAAAAGTATTGAGCATTGATGAGATGATGGGATAAGTCTATAGATGCACATGGTATTCATTTTTTATTCATTTAAAAAATTTTTAAATTAAAATTTTAATATTTTTACAGGCAAGGTGTCACTATGTTGCATGACCTCACGACTGATTAGCATGGGAGTTTTGACTTCCATTTCTGGCCTTGATCAGTTCACCTCTCCTTAGGCAACCTGGTGGTCCCCTGCTCCTGGAAGCTTAACATTGATGCCAGGCTTGGTATGGATACCCAATTGGCATGCACACTACAGCCCAGAACTCCTGGTCTCAGGCAGTCCTCCTGCCTCAGCCTCCCAAGTAGCTGGAACTACAGACATGTGCCACTGTGCCTGGCTGATGGTGTTACTTTTGAACATACATTTAAATACATGTGGTTAGGAATATATATTTTTAAAACAGTGGTTCTTTACCTTAGATGTACATTGTAATCACTGTGGGAGCTTTACTGATGCCTGTGTCCTGTCCCCCAGAGATTATAATTTAATTGGTCTGGGACTTGGCCTGGGCATCAGGATTTTAAAAACTCCTAGCTAATTATAATGTAGAGCCAAGGTTCAGAGCTATTATTATTATTATTTTTTGTTTTGTGGAGACAGAGTTTTGCTCTTGTTGCCCAAGGTAGAGTGCAATGGCGCAATCTTGGCTCACTGCCACCTCCGCCTCCTGGATTCAAGCGATTCTCCTGCCTCAGCTTCCCGAGTAGCTGGGATTACAGGCGTGCACCACCATGCCCGGCTAATTTTTTTGTATTTTTAGTAGAGGCAGAGTTTCACCATGCTAGTCAGGCTGGTCTCGAACTCCCAGACCTCAGGTGATCCACCCGCCTTGGGCTCCCGAAGCACTGGGATTACAGGCATGAGCCACCGTGCCCAGCCCAGAGCTATTGTTTTAAAAGAATTCTTTCTTTATAATCATACCTCCTTTGTTCTTCCTAGGGGAAGAGAGTAAAGTGATTTGTATACTCATTCGTTGTGTTAACATTTTATTCTTTTGATTTGAAATGAGCAATTGTTGTATTTTAATTAATTAATTAATTTTTTTATTGAGACAGAGTCACTCTATTGTCCAGGATGGAGTGCAGTGGCACGATCTCGGCTCACTGCAACCTCTGCTGTGAGCCGAGATCTCCAGATTTTTTTGGGGACAGTCAAGTCCTGCTCTGTCGCCCAGGCTGGAGTGCAGTGGTCCTATCTTAGCTCACCACCAAGGATTATCTCTTCCCCCTTGGATTAACTTGACATCTTTGTTGAAAATCGGGTGTCCGTATACGTGTGAGTCTATTACTGGGCTCTTTATTTTTTTTAATTTTTATTTATTTATTTTTTTGAGATGGAGTCTCGCTCTGTCACCCAGGCTGGAATGCAGTAGCACGATCTCCATTCACTGCAAGCTCTGCCTCCTGGGTTCGCACCATTCTCCTGCCTCAGCCTCCCGAGTAGCTGGGACTACAGGTGCCCACCACAATGCCCGGCCAGTTTTTTGTGTTTTTAGTAGAGATGGGGTTTCACCGTGTTAGCCAAGATAGTCTCAATCTCCTGACCTCATGGTCCGCCTGCCTCGGCCTCCCAAAGTGCTGGGATTATCGGTGTGAGCCACCTTTATCTGTTTGTCTATCTATACCAATACTATATATATGTATGTGTGTGTGTGTGTGTGTGTGTGTGTGTGT